AAGATGCCAGAGTTCAAAGAAGGTTTTGTACAAAATTTTCTTTGACTCTAGAGGGGCGATTGTTCAAATTCCTAGATCCAAAGGAAGAACCATTAATAGCTTGTTTTACAACAAGAGGCCTATGGGCCACATCGCTCACCCGAGCATTGTGGCTAGGAAAAAGTAGGAATTGGTTTACAATACTATTGAAAAGTGTAAAACCAAAAGTTTGGCCCCGCCCTACCCCCGGGGTCATGATTTGAACAAACTTGAATCTACACTACCTGGGGATGCTTCCCTATAAATATGAGCAATCATGGCTTTGCTGTTCTTGAGAAAAAGTTTTTTAAAGAATTTTCCTATATATTTCTATGTAAAAATTTGTTGGCCATCGCAACCCCGCCCTACCCCCGGGGGTCATGATTTGAACAAACTTAAATCTACACTACCTGGGGATGCTTCCATATAAATATGAGCAATTATGGCTTTCCTGTTCTTAAGAAGAAGATTTTTACAGAATTTTCCTAAATATTTCTATATAAAAATTTTGTCGGCCATTGTGACCCCGCCCTACCCTCGGGGGTCATGATTTGAACGAAATCTACACAACCTGAGGATGCTTCCATATAAATTCAATCAATTATTGCTTTGCTGTTCTTGAGAAGAAGATTCTTTAAGATTTTTCCTATATATTTCTATATAAAAATTTGGTCGGCCATTGTGGCCCCGCCCTACCCCCGGGGGTCATGATTTGAACAAATTTGAATCTACACTACCTGGGGATGCTTCCATATAAATATGAGCAATCATGGCTTTGCTATTCTTGAGAAGAAGATTTTTGAAGAATTTTCCTATATATTTCTATATAAAACTTTGGTCGGCCATTGTGGCCCAGCACTACCATCGGGGGACATGATTTGTACAAACTTGAATTTACACCTGAGAATGTTTCCCCATAAGTTTCATCTTTCCTGGCACAGTGGTTCTTGAGAAGAAGATTTTTAAAACATACCACCAAATTTTTACTAATTCTCAATTATCTCCCCTTGAATGAGGGCATGGCCCTTTATTTGAATAAACTTGAATCCCCTTCACCCAAGGATGCTTTTTCGCAAGTTTGGTTGAAATTGGCACAGTGGTTCTTGAGAAGAAGTCGAAAGTGTGAAAAGTTTACAGACAGACAGACGGATGCCAGACAAAATGTAATCAGAAAAGCTCACTTGAGCTTTCAGCTCAGGTGAGCTAAAACAGAATATTGATTAAAGTGAAACATATCTTTCGTAAAAGACGCCCAAAGACAGGCCTAGCCTTCGTGGAATTTACCTGCTGCATGACAATGCTACCGCACATAAACATAAAGAGGTATAAAAGCGTTTCTGAGGAATGAAAGAGTTACAGAGTTGCAACACCCGCCATATTCGCCAGATCTAAGTCCATGCGACTTTTTTCACTTTCCTAAACCAAAGAAAATGTTGTCCGGAAGACGCTACGGCTCCAGATCGACCATTGGCAGTGCCATAAATCAGTGCCTTTTAGGTACTTTTGGGCTTTTTGTTTTTGGATAAAAAGACTTGAAAAGTGTATTAAAGTGAATGTGGAATATTTCTAAGGATTGATGTAAAAAAATTATTTGAATTTAAGGTTGCGTCATATTTTTTGGTACCCAGTTGTATTACTTAATGAATGACCCTCGTATTATTCATATTCGTCGAAAATAAATCCAGTTTTTCTACTTTTAACTCAGATAATTGTGAGTATTTAAAACCCTTAACGAAAAATAATTGTTTTAGGATAAGTATTCGTTTTGAAGCTAAATGGTGTGGAGTGGAGGTCCGTTTTCCAGCACATTTTTCTACTCCTTAATCTTTATCTCACAACAATAATGTTAACACTTATGTACAAGAGTCTGCAGGTCACGTTCGTTTGACCTGATAAGAGAACTACCAATTCGTTATAAATAAAGGATCAAGCATAGAAATCAAATTTTACTGATAATAAATACTAACCTGCCATGTGCCCAGTCCGACAAAAGGCATTTCCTTTCCATTATTTAGTTTCACTGCCATGTTCATTCCAGCCATCCTATTCTGCTACCCGCTTCTCAGTGAAGGTCAGATTTATATCTGTTAGAATGTCCTAAAAAAAGGTCTGCCCTCTTATCGCGCATTTCTTCAATAATCAATATTAAAAAGAGTACATAAGAAGGTCAAAAATTATTACAAGTGTTCGTTTAAAAGCACAAAAGTGCAAATAGTTTTTTTTAATAAGAGAAGTATATGGACATTATGAACAGTACTCAAGTTCCTAGTCTATTAAACATTACAAATTTTGGATAAAGGAAGGCACGGAGCTTTAAAACATCAGAAATGGGACAAGGTGCGCAACAGAAAACTCCGTCGACAATTCAGTGTGTAAATAATGGCCTAAAAATAAGGTTAAACATACGTAAGTATTTGAATGAATGATAGATTGCATTTGCTGACAAGGTCATTGTATTGACCAATAAACTCACGAAATTATAAATTTAAACAAAACGGTTGATATTCTTGTTTCATCAAATTTTTGTCAATATCTTACCTGGTTTTAGAAATTGCTCAGACATAGAACAAGCTCTTGTGAATAGAATCAGCTGAGAGATATTAACCCAATATATATCTGATAAGAACACTAGTACTGAGTATATATTCCTGCATAGGGAAAGAGAGTAAACGATTGAAAAGAAACATGGAGATAACCAACAGCAAGAACAGTAAGAGTCATCACTATCAGAAATTTTGTTGTTTATAATGTCCATTCTAGCAAAATATCTAAGTATGAAACATATGTGTAAGACTCTGTGGTAGCTTTAATTTCAAGCCCACTGAGATATATCGTTTCGATATTTGAACGGAAATAACCATCAGTTGATATATCTAAATTATATATCGAATTGAGGGCACCAACAAGTGTTTTCCTTATTACACAAGTAAAAGAAATTAGATTAAATGAAACATAATAATGGAGATAACAAATAGAATTCAAGATCAAAAGTCCGTAAAACAATATAAAATAGAAACAAAGCAAACATGGACCTCCAATTAAAACATTAGAGGCGGGATCATATTTTGTAAATGACTGTGCTCTACGTGTCGTTTTTAATTGGTATTTCAACGATTCGTAAATATGCACAAGGTCTTTTTAAGCATTGGATTATCATTTTTTGAAAGATGCTGTCTCATAACTGCAATGATGTGTGCAAACAAATTGAGTAACGCGCGTTAGCGCGTTATGAAAATTTGTTTGCACACACCATTGCAGTTATGAGACTGCATCTTTCAAAAAATGATAATCCAATGCTTATATTTACATTTTTTAGCCCCTGTATTTTCCGCTATTTTAAGTTTTTAAATTAAAATTCCCGCCTTATTCTTCAAGTAAGTTGCAATTGATAGAACAGCTTTTGGAAAAGCTTAATCTAAACTTCCCGCCAGAATTCGTTTGCTCACAAACCAAAAATCCGCAAACGAAAATAGTGCACAATAAATCAGATAACTTTAATCAAAGTTTTCTTTATTTTTCAATCTAAAATGATAAATTATATTTTTGCAACAAAGAAATACAAATGATTAGTATAAAAGACATAATTTTTTTGCTTTGTTTAAACTGTAATGGCGTAGTCCCTGTATTCATACTCCAGATAGACTTTTGTGTGATATGTGTATTTATCACTTGTAAAATATTTTATAATGCTTTTTATTAGGGTCAAACAAAGTAAATGTAAATATTGTGAAATAAATATTACGACATTTGGTCGTTTAAAAGAAAAAGGAACATAATGGATCTGTTGAAAAGCACACCATGCGTTACCTAAATAAGGAACAACAATCACCCTGTCATAAATCCCTCCCTTCCCACCTTCACCAACTCCTGACATTCCTTCCGGAGTAGTTCTCCTTCTTATTTTATTCTGCAGAAGAATAGATTAAATAGAGAAGGTGTCCCTCTTAATTAAGACATTTTAAACGTTGTTATCCTTCGTCTTCTTTCTATTATTCATTTTATCCACGAAGTTTACCGGACAACCCTCATAGACTTATCAAAGGATCAATTGTATATTGTTTAACGTCCCTCTCAAAATTTTTCACTCATAGAGACGACACCACATGCCGGTGGAGAGCTGCAAATTTTGTCCTACACTCGGCATCCAAAGCCATTGAGCAGGGAGGGATCTTTTGCGTGCCAGCATCTACCGCGACACAGGACCTCTGTTTATACGGTCACATCCGAAGGACCGGTCTCCACGTCCCACAGTGGGATTCCAACCCTTACTTCGTGACTCTAGAGCAGACAATCTAACCACTGCGCCACACGGACTACTCATCCAAGGACAATGATAATAAAAACAATTGTATTTCTTGTTTTAATCTGAAAATTTAAGTGAAAATGGAAAAAAAAACTTAGACAATTAAGAGTGAAAATTATATTCTAAAATGTAAATTAATATGAAACCAGTTAGTCAGCATTTGCCTTTATGATATGGTGCAATTTCCAACGAGGCCATTATATCGACCAGTGTAATATGTGTCTAAAAAACAAGAGGTATAAAAGTAGAATAGAGAGGTATATATTTAAAATTAATCATACCAAGTACATCTAAGTGCAATTCTGTTGGTTTTGTGATATTGTTCGAAGCCTATTTTTTTAAAAGATTTTTTTTCTTCTGAAGGTTGTTAAGTTTGATTTATTTAACTCAAATGCATATATATACATTAATGTTTATATGAGATGCCAAATGCCTCAAGACAACAGTTTTAAATATCAAACATTGCAAATCGTGTTTGTTAGTTAGGTTATCAACATCTTTTAACTTCAATTTTTCGGTATGTATTAATATATTTAAATCAAGCTCAAAAGAAAAAACAATTTTTAAAATACTAGGTATCAAAAGTCATGAATAAAATTACAATTATGGAATATAATTTGAATTTCTTTTAAAAATCCGCTTAGAATTATTTTTGATACAATAGAATCATATCATCTTCAATTGTAAAGAAACAGCACTGGCGAATTTAAAGTTATTACTTGAATATTTCCTTCAAAGACAAGAGAGTTTGACAAAGATGTTTTATACAAGTCCTACATGTGATTGGGTTTTTTTTTTTATTTCACCATGGACACTCTGGATGATCCTTACACCTGCAGAGAAACAAAAAAGAAATAAATATTTTAGGATTTTATGATTTCTGTGACTTACAAATTTAAACTTATACTTAGTAGTACATCAGATTTTTCCCAACAGACGTTAGTAAAACTTTTCCATAAGTAGAAATTGTTCCATGTAGATGTAATTATCTTAACAAACATTTTGTTCTAAGAACTAAGAAGTTGACGAAAAAATGTAATTAACTGTCATTTATAAAGTCAATTATCGTTTAAAACTAAAGGAAAAAGAAGAGAATGGGATGATCTTGGGGGCGGGGGGGGGGCACTTTAATAAGGGCCGGATGGACCATTGGAAGTTATTGTATAAAATTTATTTTTAAAAACTCAGAAGCATCTAGAGATATTGCCCAGAAATGAAAGTTTTGCATGCATGCACATACAGAATGTATGAATTTACCACCTTGATCTTTGACCTTTTGACCTCAAATTCATAATGGGGCTTTTTGACCTCAATTCAATAGGAATATTTCTTAGGCCATAGGAAATTGTTGTGTAAAATATCATTGAAAAAGCTCAAAGGCTTCACGAGATGTCGCGTGGAAATGACAGTTGTACAGACAGACAGAACTGTAGACAGCCGGTGTAAAGACGAATAATGACCCCAATCGAATAATGACCGGGGTCATTTTTCGACAGCGAAAATGACCCCCGGTCATTATTCGACGTCGAAAAATGACCCTTTTGCCTGTAGAAAAAGTGTCACCAACCTCAAAATTTGCAGAACCCACGTGAAGAAAAATGACCCCCGTAGAAAAATGACTCCTTGTGGATCAAAGCTGAATTTTTTAGGGGGCAAAAAAAAAAATAGATAAAGAAGCATATTGGCCAGAATGCTCACCTGAGCTTATTGAGAATAAATTGATGATATGTTGATCTCATAACATTATACAATTCAAGCTTTATTTTAAGGTAAATGCGATGATTCATAATCTAAAGGAGTAAAAGATTTATCAAGCCTAAAGGGTTAGGTGAACATTGTTTTTCGATGGTGGAAATCATCGTACTGACAGAAAAAATCAGCAGTATTTTATATTATTATATCCTCCGTTTGAAAAGCGGGAGGGTATATAGTAATCGAGATGTCCGTCTGTTACGCTTTGGGGTATCCATCTCTTATCTGCAACTCCTCTTATATATAAAAAGATGTGTTTGTGAAATAGCAATGCCCCTGTATGGCAACATAGCGACAATTAAACTTTTCTTAAATGCAATTTAAATAAATTGGTATCCAAAGTAGGGTCTTCTCACAAGAAATACAGTTGCAAAAAAAGGAAAGCCCTAGCACCACTTGTTCAAAAGTAATGGCTAAGGATAAGTTTTTGAAAGGTAGGTCAAAATCAAAGGTCAAAGGGTCAAAGTTGATGGTTTCTTAAGAAAGGTTTAATGTAACAAGGATTACATATGTGAAGTATGAAAACCCTAGCCCTTACTGTTCAAAACTTATGGCCAAGGTTAAAAAAGTTTTTTTTTTCATAAGTACGGAAATCTCCAAGGTCAAGGTCAAAAGGTAAAAGTTTTTAGTATCCAATGAAAGGTCGTGCCAAAAAAAAATACATATGTGAAGTATGAGAGTACTAGTATCTACCGTTTAAAAGTTATGGCCAAAGTAAAAAATTGGCATTTTTTTGTAAAATGGGACAAACTCCAAGGTAAAGATCAAAGGTCAAATTTGGTGGTACCTAAAGTAAGGTCCTGTCCTAAGGAATACACATATAAAATATGAAAGTCATAGCTCCAATAAATGAAAAGTTATGGTTAAGGTTAAAGTTTTTGCGGACAAACAGACCGCAAGATAGACAGACTGACACACATACAGACGGACACGATAAAATTATAACCCCCCGAATTTTCGATTATGGGGACATAAAAAGAAATGATCTTCAATTAACTTTTCATAATATGATACAGTATAAAGAAGACGTTACATAAATGAAAATGTTTGTTCTGATTTTCATATAAAATTCTCTAAAAGATATACTCAGAACTGAGTAAAAGGGTGGAGTAAAACCAGAATGAAGAAATGTAATGAATACTGTGTGCTATAACAAAAGGTTATGTCTGCATGTATAGTTTTTGCATTTGAATGTGTACTTTACACTAGCCCATAGCTTTACAGAGTATATTATAGGTGTTATACCCACTCACCCCTGATTTATTTAGGAGGAAGTCGATTATCAACAAAAGCAACAAAAAAACTACCCTACCTCTATATATCTATAAGGAGGGACTAAAAATAAGCTTAAAATAATTTACTATTCTACTAATTTTCAACTGTTACTTTGCCACAATACTTTTAAGCACTGTATACCCCCAGCAACATTTAAAGTCTGCTTTAATATTGGAGAAGTAAATTATGATATGATAGTACTTGTTTGAAGACTTAACTTCATTTCAATATTTAATCCAGAGCCTCTTTTAGCATTATTGAAAGGTATATAATTTTATTTATATTTTTGCTTTTCGTTTTTTTTTATTTAACGTAATGGTGTTTTTTTTTTTTTGTTTTTTTTTTTCTTTGTTTTTTTTTTTGGGGAGGGGGATAAAAATCTCCTCCTCTTTCATTGTCAAATAGGATTTGCCAAACTTATATAAGCTAAAAGTTGAAATGAAGAAAAATAAATTTTTCCTATTAAAGAGTATTTAAATCTGATTGTTGCCTGGTTTGATTTCTAAAAACAAGTGGAATATCAAAAATATATATATATTTTTTAAGCAAACATTAAAAGGAGGAATATCGAAAAGAAATCTTATTTACTTGACAATTAAAGAATCTCATTTCAAACACAGTTTTAGCATTGAAAGACTACGTGAATCTCTTAATTTTTAATTTCTCACTTGAAAATGTTCATTGCAAGTCTGGTTGTTCTACCGAGGGCTGGGTATAAAAAGAATATGTATTTGCAAAGATTTAATATCTTTAATTATATTGTGATAGTCTGCATGTATAGGATGGAACATATGAAAAATCGAGGCGTCCTGTCATCCATTTCTATTTTTATTCACTCGTCCGAATGTAACCTATTTAATTCGAACAAATTACTTATTTGTACGCACCGATATTAATTCGTCTTCTACAAATTTCTACTTTTTCCCAACAATTTTTTTTTCTGAAACAACGTATCAATGGAGTCAGTAAAAAAAAATATATTCATAAATTTCATCTCCAGCGTGCGTTTGATCCATTTACATGTACCATCTTTGATTTTCTAGGTTTGCTCCTTTATCAGAGAAATGAAGATTAATTGATTGATTGTAAATTGCTTTAAAAACTTTATTACCCCTATGTGCTAAGAAGAACAAGGATCAAATCTATTCGAACAAATGCATGAATTACTCGAAGGAAGAACAATTATTATACACAGCATATTTTTCCCTTGCACCTGTTATAAATTCTGTATCACTTCAAAGGGGGTCATTTTTCGATGGGGGTCAATTTTTTATAGGACTAACATATAAAATAATGACCCCTAGGACTCTTTTTCTTCAAAAAATGATTTTTTTCTACGGGTAGGGGGTCATTTTTTGTCGATGAAAAATGACCCCCGGTCATTATTCGATGGGGGTAATTATTCGTCTTTACACCGGACGGTTGGACGGACGCACAACAGACAGAAATTATTCCCCCTTATCAGCGGGGTACAAAAAGTGTATTGACTAGCTTTTATGAAGATATGACGTACATCGCAGAAACGTTGTCGAAATAACGGTGTCGAATCTTTATGTTGTTAATCTCCTCCATGTCTTTTTTTGATAGAGAAAAATCAAAAACCTGCAATGAAAAACAAAATTATTATTATTTTTTTTTTTTTTTTTTTGTTATTATGGAATGTTTAGTACATGTATATACCTTCACTTGATTTCTTATGAAGCTTTTAAAAAAAACTCTTTTGAAAATAATTTTTAATGAGAAGCTTTTGTCAACGCGTTTAAGAATTCAGCTATTGTTTTCTTTCATTTCCTTCCAGCTCTGTTAAGATAAACTCGAAACATTCCTCACATCCCTCTTGTATTATGTAAATAATCAAATGATAGGCTTTTTAGTACAACAAAGCAGTTAATTTATGAGAAAGTTTTACAACCATAGGACTTTTTCCTAAACATGCAAAAAAAAGCTTTCAAATAATTTAGTACATGCTTCAAATACATGAATATACTGCAAATATTCACCTGGAAATTGCTTTGAATTCTCTCCGGAGTAACACTCTTTGGAATAACAATGATTCCTCTTTGGATAAAATTTCGAATAAGAATCTGTAGTAAAGATAAATTCTTGAAATAAATTCAGTTGAAAAGTAGTTCTTCGATTAATTTGCTTATTGATCATAGATTGAAGAAAAAATGACTATTTTGGCATATGATTTTGAAAAGTTTTTTTATATTTCTTCTGTGCAGCAAGATAGTTATAATTCAGACAATAATGTTGATAATGTTTATCTGTATTTAATTCAACCATGAACAACTACTATAGTATGTGATTTTGCATCTTGGCGAAAATGACACTAGATTTCAATATCTTCTTTTGAATTACATTCATATACTTTAATACTATTTTTATACATGTATTTTTAAAATATGTCTTTGAATTTGTTAAAATGAAAATATGTATTCGAAAAGTTGATGAAAGTTATATTGGGAAATAGACGTGATTTTATTTTCTATTGAACGGGGCCGTAGAATGCCAAACTTAATCTTAACCATACAACAAGGTCAAAAAAAGACAATTTCTGAAGATCATCTTATTTTCGCCACAAAGTTAGCATCATTAACCAGAATTATGAAAATCGTCTCTCGCTTATGAAAACCATATGACTTTAAAGTAAAAATAAAGGTATTGCAAAAAATGGTGTATTATGTTAAAATATTTTGTGATTGATTTTATTTTATTTATTTTTTTTTTGATACTGAGAATGTTTTGAAATGTCTAAAACAAATCAGAAGGAATGTATTAGCAAGGCACTATTTTCCGAAATCCTCATTCCTATTAATAATAATCCTTATTATTATACCTCTACTGATTTTTTCCTTTAAAATGTGAATGATTCCCTAGAAATCTCAGTGAATGGACTTATTCCCCGTGCATTAGTTAAATGAGCTAATCCCTGCTTTGGAAGCTAATTCCCCGGTTATCCGTAGTCCTCTAGTTTTTAATTTTGTATCGGTCCAATATGTTAATAAACTAATTCCCCGTGCGTAAGTCTTGAATCTTATTCCCCGCTATTCATAATCCTCTACTTGTATCGGTATAATAAAACAGTTAAAAAGTATATCATTGAGGATTCCAGTTCCCCAAGACTAGGACTATTTCCTGCGGCGTGCTGCGCCTCGGGAAATAGTCCTGGTCTTGGGGAACTGGAATCTTGCTAACTCCCTCAATGATATACTTTAACTGTATGATAATGAAAATAAACGTGAGAATAGTAAATGATATTCAGTGTGCATTAAAAAAATTGTTTACTAAATGGAACTAGAGATAGTCAACTATATTTCATAAGCCATTGTACTTATATCAAATTTATTACATATAAATATTTAGGTAAAACCTTCCCATATCTTGGTGTTATTTCGATTAATTTCGCTTTGTTTAAATAAGTAATTTTATCTCCTCTATTATCGATACGTTTTGTCACCGTACCTGTGCAGGAGATTTCCCATGATTCCTTGCAATTTTCAGGATGACAGGATCTTCTAAGACAATCGGATCACCCGCTTGTTTACTACCATCAACAGAAATATACACGTATTTCTCTTTTTAACTTTAACTTTTAGAACATGTATGATTGTTTGAAATTCTATTGATACAAGTAAAATTTTTTTTTTTAAAGAATACATTTTACTTCAAATATTTTAATTGATATTTAATGAATGGTTTAATGATATTTTTTTCTGAAATACTTACCAAAAGTCAAATCTTCCCGGAGAACCGAAAGGAGAATATGCAGTAATTGTTAAACCAAGTTTCTTACAAGCCTCAAACAAGTCTGTCTGTGGAAGATATATATGGCACTCCACCTGACGAAAAATTAATGATTAATGATTAATTAAAATACAAAACAGTAATATCAAACCGGATACCACATAGTCAACATTTCTGAGCCAGTTATTATCTTTCAATTATAAATATTTCAGCTGCTAAAACATAAATGTTTGTAAGTCTTTTAATGCCAAACAATTAAATAGACGAGCTCACTTGGTTTATAACAGGTTTATGCTTAGCCATCTTGCAGATTCTTTCCACTTGTGAGATACTGAAGTTAGACACTCCAATAGACTTTGCAAGCCCTTGGTCAACAAGTTCTTCCATTGCCTAAAAGAAGATATACTAGTATCATATTGAAATAAATTTGTGTTCAGAAAAATTATTGGCCTTTGGGTTTTTTTTCTTCCCTTATAACATCCATGATGAATTTAAAAAATCAAATCATAAAATTCAACAACCTTGCAGATGAAAATAAACAACCATAACTTTAATCATTGACAAGGGATTAAAAAGCAACTCCTCCTTTGTCAAATAATGTTCAATGTATCTATTATAAGTGGGGAAAAATTACCCTAGGTTTTATTTTCTAGATAATTATGTAACAATTTATGAGTATAAAAAAAATCCTGTGTCTCGTAAAGCACTGTTTGACAGCACCTTCCATGTTCCTAACAGATCCCACTTATCTGCTTTCTTCCAGGCGCCCACCTCGTTTGTGGGGTAAACGTTGGTGTCATCCCCTTCATACTGAAAAGTAACATAAGGTTTAATATGTACATAAGGGTCATTATAGGAGTAGGTCATTAAAGGTATACAAATACGAGGGACGTTCAATAAATAATGTCATCGGTGCTCAGAAAGAAACAACAAACGCTTTTCTATGATTTAGTCTTAATGATTAAGCTGGAATATTGTCTTTTGATTAACATTTTTATTCAATTTCTAATTGTTTTTAGAACACATATTTGAGTATGACCCTTCGTATACTGGAATATGGCAGATCCTATGATTTCCTGTACTTGTTTTTTTCTTTCTGAAAGGTGTTTTTTCAAGTTTGGGAAATGAAACAAGTCAAAGGTTGAAATTGCTGGCCAAAATTATTGTTTTGACCAAAGATTAACTTTATTTTTATCCCCAGAACTTCTTTACGCTTCATGACCTGTCGGTGTAGACGCTGTCATAAAGAAATTATATGTAGTGAATTCCTCATTCTGGCTCCTTCCTCTCATAAACCTTTCACTTTTTTGCAAATAATCTGCTTTCTTGACTTTCCAGAAATTGAAATTACACCCCCAATAAGAATTTGAACAACAAGACAACTTATATTCAAGAAAATAGCATATAAAACTGTTTTGTGCTCTTACAATTCTTTGCTTTTTTCAGGCCTTTGCTGTTTTGTCAAGTGTATCTCATTGTAAATTTTGTTTTGAGGGTTTAAAGCAAAATGGATTCAACTGAAGTTTCATTATCTGTTTGACTTTCAGACAAATATGGACAAGTAATTCTTTTATTTTTTTACAATAATTGTTTAGATATTCCTACACGCTGTCGTTTTCACTCATTTTTCAAAGTATTGGGTGACGTTTGAGTATTAAACTGTTTTACTATCAAATGTTTCTTAAAACATTGTGAAGTACCCCTAAAATGATGTCTATCAAATTCGCTATGTGTCTTAAAGTCAATCAAACATACTCAGTGATAATTTGTTGAATTTTTGCAAATGTACATTCGCTGTTGTATGTCCTTGTCGCCAAGAATGGTACCCATTTTTGATGCCCATTTTATCATTTTTGTTCATTGAAATGCACCTGCTCATGTGTATATAAAACAGACATTGGTTGCTGTAAATTTCACATATTTCAGTTAATATATCTTTGGGATTCTTAACAAGTTTTACAGCAGCTTTTATGGAGCGTTTAATATCACTCTAGTTTACTGATTCTTGACTATTCATTTTAAATTCAGTGTCTCGAATAGCCCTTGCTTTCCAGCTTCTCACAATGGAACTATGTGATGAAAAGTGGTCAAATAAACTGTTATCAACTCATTAAAGATTTAATAATTAGAGAAAGTCGATCTTAATGGCATATAATTTCTATGTTGTATGTTATCGAGCTGATGACATTATTTGTTGAACGTCCCTCGTATTGTTTTGAAAAATTATTTAAAAATGAGATTATTTTGACGTACTTAGCAATCTCCAGACATATCAAATATTTTACTTGAATTGTACCATGTTATTCAAAATTTTAATATCTTACTTTCACCATGTACATCTACTAAGAGGTTAAAAACAATACTTAAACTTTTTAAAAAAAAATTTACAAAACTTGATTGTAAAATTGAAGAATGAAATATTTTTGTAGCTAACTCGATCGTAGTTTAGCGATTTTTTTATATGTGCCGCAAATTGTGTAACATTGCCCTTTGGATACATATAAATGTAAATCAAAATACTTTTTTCTGTGTAAAGGCGAAGAATGGACAAAGTGTGGCTTGGTATAAACAAAGCCATAGAAACCTGGTAAGCATATTAATATCAATAGACGTGACAAAACTGGTAGAGCCTCTTCGCAAAAAAAAAAACAGTACCGCTTGGGCTTATTTAATATTTTTATGTCTTACTGTAAAATCAAATATTTTCGGAAATCAAATTATCGTGATTTGAGGAAAATATCTTGGTTCATAGGGATTAGATTTCGTGGTAAAAGAATTGCTCAGTGGTAAAGTTTTTAAAATATGCATATCGTGGTAGGTATAAATTCGTAGGTCTCTCCATACCTGGAAATGATATACATTGAGATAACAAACTGAATTCAAGCTCAAAGTCCATAAAACAAAACAAAATAGAGACAGAGCAAACGCGGAATTCCAAAACATTAGAGGTGGGATCAAGTGCCATGGAGGAGTACGCATACCCTCCCGATCGGTCACACCCGCCGTGTGCTCCTTGTCATGATCTGGAAAAGTTTGTCGTCAATTCAGTGTAAATAATGGATTAACAAATGAAAAACGTCAGTCAGCATTTGACTTAATGATAAATTGTATTTGCTGACAACAAGGCTAGGTCAACGAAAATTAAACCCTGCTCTGAAGAAATTACTGATACAAAAAGTTTTTAACATCGGAAATTATTTTTCGAATTTTTTTACATGTAGCTGCAGATCTGTAGCTCGCTGGTCAGAAAAAAAAATTGGGGTGGACGACCAGATAACTACGGTGCTGCCCAAAGAATGAAAATGTATATTAATTGCGCACAAAAAGTTGCACGCAGTTCTTTATAAATTCCAACAAATTCTTACCTCAATTGCAAACCAAATTGGCAGTATTAGTTATTAGTAGACAAACTTTTCGACTGCCTCATTTTCAGGGCCAGGCTAGCTATTAGCAACAATTATAAGGAACGTTTTGTGGTTGAAACAGTAAAATATGTGTTAAGAACACAGGGTTAGATATATTCTGAGATGCCAGTTTTAAAAAACACAGAGAAATACATCGAGAAACAGAGCACTTTTGTGTAATGAATATACATTTTTTTAATGGGTGGCACTGCAGCTCTCCGATCTGTCCATATATTCCTTTTTCGGAGAGCCACAGTGCTATAAGTTTTGTGACCTTTTTAAAAGGATTTTTTATTGATTGTTTTACCGCTAATTGGACGGGGAAGTGAACGAGGTACAGATCTACATAAGATAATTGCAAGTTCTTCAGACTCAACTCAATGGATCTCTTCACAAGTTTGGGGTCCATGTGTATCATTGGAAGCTGAAATTAAATAAGATCTTTTTTTATAATTTGTTGCAGCAACATTAAAATATAAACATATTTTACAAACACGACTTGAATGTGTTTATATTTTCAGTTTATTTTCATTGGGTTTTTTTATATTTCAAATTTTAGAAAATTTATTTTTATTTAATTAGTTAATAATTTAATTGATAAAACACATAATTGCCAAATCAAAGCAATCATAAATCTTGCATTTTTTATGTCACTTCAATGAGAGAGTTTTAAGTATCTACCAATTACTGAATTGTTATAGTTACCTTAGTAACGATAAACAGTTCCTCTCTTTTCACTTTTCCATTCTCGATATACTCCTGTAACACATCTCCTATTGCATCCTCATTCATGTAAATGTAGGCCGTGTCAACGTGTCTGTACCCCGCATCCAAAGCTGCCCGCACAGCCACCTTAACCTCGTCTTTTGGACTCTGAATAAGATGTATAGGGTTTTGGTTGAATATTAATATTACATAGAAATATCACCTTTTTACAAGAAAGAGGGCCTTGTAGAGGTTTTATATGATGTTTGCGTATTTACATATAAATAGAGTACATGTTACTGGAAATTGGTCTAAATAGTACGAAAGAAATCATGTTATGTAATAAGAAGAAAATGTGAAAATTATTTGTAAATAAGGATATGAAATTATATACGAAAACAATTTCAGACAACATATCTCAATATTTCCATTTTTATTTGCTTCCACTCTGATAACTCCTTGAAAATAAGGCGAGTTGATTTCTTGATCATTTCAGAGGAATGTATACATCGCCAATCGAAAGGTCAGGAGTTAAAAAGGCCCAATATGCATGTAGATCTCGTGCATCTGTCTTAATGTCTAATGTCAGTGGGTGGTGACTATTGATATTGACATGGTTGTCAATAATTTATTATAATAGTTGAATATTCATTATAATTATAATATCAGTGGGATTTTTTGTCAGCGGAGTAAACGTCACTAAAGTATATTTTTACATTTGTCTATCATTTGCAAACTTGGGTTTTCAAATTTATGGCCGATAAAGGTCTCTGGGGTTTTTTTTACAGTGTGTAATATGAAAGATGGTATGTTTTGTTTTTCTCTCTCTAAATACTCTCATAATTTATTTATTTTTATGAGAGAAAAGTATCATATTCTCTTGCAAGACAGAGTATGAGAAAAAAATAAATATATCATAAATAAAAAATATATATAAATCTAAAAAATCTCAATTCAAACAAGACATATATAATTACAAACCTGCCAAGTACCAAGGCCTATAATCGGCATTTCTTTTCCATTGTTAAGTTTGATTGTTCTCCTCGAAGTGGCCATGTTTGTATCACTTTCCAGACTGTTGCGCGGTCAGTACAGGATTAAATTAATCTTAAATTACTTAATATGCAGCGCTACCGTTTATTATAACAATATCCGTAAAATGTCTTCAATTGCGGATATGTGTATATTTCAATTCAAGCTATTGACTCAAAACTATGTAACTTGTAAATGGCGTACAATAACAAATTATTACAGACAATTAGTGTAATCATTGACGTTATTTAATAAAGATTCAGCGACCCTCTCTATTTCACAATTTTTTTTAAATTCTATTTTATTGATTTTCCAAAAGAAATCTTATCAAAATTCAACTACACACGATTTCAAGCCTCCGAATCATGAATCAACTTACGCTTATGTCAAAATAATTCATGTATGTTTCAAGTTCTTATTTGAAAATTGAGGGATTTATTCAATAATAAATAAGCAATTTACAGGTGATTAATACATTGTAATATGATAATTAAGAATTACGTCTGTTTGAGGAATACGATGCAAGATTTAGGAAACCATATGATGCAAAGTCAGAAATAGCTCTTAAAAACGACAATATGGCATATAAATTTATTCAAAAGAAAAAGCATCGTCGGATACCTACGGATGTTTTTGTCTTTTACTCATTAGTAAGTGTATACGAAATTGATCGTGGGTTTCCGAAGATAAGGAAAAAGATGCTTACTTGATCTCATCCTTATCTTATTATGAAGTAACTAAAATATTAAATTTTAGTCGAACTTTTTATTTATAACTTTAATCCAACTGTAGAAAGTATATAAATGCATTTTAAAAGTCATTTGGTTTTATACTTTCTATTTGTTTAGGGCTTTAACAATGATGATTTAGATGAGATTTTTTATTTCATGAAAGCTCCATATTATATCACAACATAATAATGCTGTTGAAACAGAAACAGTTTCATAAAACATATCCATTTGTCATTCGAATGAAATATTTAATTGTTTTATTTTTCGTAACACAACTCTTTTACATTGCTTTTTATGCTTGTTCATATAAATACTCGCATTTTATCGTCATAATAAATAAGATTGAGCGTGCAATCCAATCCCCTAATGAATAACGTCATTTCGAATTTCAATACAAATTCTATAATATGCATTTAAAAAATGTTAATATTTTTGCATGTCTTCTTAATCATTTAAAAGTTTAGTATCATCTTTACCTTTTCATTGGTAAAATGAATATTTAAAATTCCTCTACTTTTAAAATCCATGTTTCTAGAAAAATGGAATTTTCAGCCTTAAGTCTGAATGAACTTTTTTATTCATTTATTAGATACTTAAATAAATCATTAGTAAAAAAAAAAAAATATTAGTCTCACATTATAAGAAAAAAGAAGGCAAAATGACAAAGGTTCTTAGGAAATAAGAACGTGACAATGTAGAAGGATTTTTAAGGTAGTTTATTTATTTAAAGTAGTATACTTTTGTCCATAAGAACCTTTTAATCACTCAGTAGTTTGTGGTTAATTATTTTGTATGTGTTATTTACCGCAAGTTAGCAAAATCAATAATAATTAGAGCAACGAGTAGGTCTTCCAACCAGAGGAAGTCAAAGGACCTTAATAAGAAACTTGCCACCATACTGCAAAAGACCAGGCATACAGTACTTGCCCAGTAGATCTTTTCTTTTATTGAACTGTTGTTGATATAGAGTCGACAAATTCTTATTATCTATCAGCATGACATGCGGACAAAAAACATTGTACGAATTCGTAAATAAACAACTACATATAGAAATAGTTTGAATCTTAACAGATGTTACACATTTTTATTTCTATTAACACATTCTTAACCTTTTTTCTTGCTTTAGAAATTATCACACAATTCTAATTTATGAAAATTGAAATGGCACCATATATGGTTAAGTCAGTGTATGTTTGACAGAAATATTGTAGATTTCTTAATAATTTCCTAATAATTTCTTCTCTTTACCACGGACGTTCTGGGTGATCCTTGGACCTGAAAAATACAGTTCAATACTGCGTTAAAATAATTGTTGTACTTAGAATAAATTTTCAACTCAAGCCAACTCAATTCAATCTTTTAAAACAGGATGGAAGGCCAAGTGGTTGCAGTAAAGAATTTTTTCTTTGAATTCTCATTTATTTCAAATCAGTTTAAACTTTGTTAAAAAGTGTTTTATCATTATTTATAGATGCAATCATCTTTAATCATCAATGCAATTTTTAAAAGGTTGATTAATTACAAAATGATAAGTGAGCAAAGTACAAGGTATGGATGACTAAACATGCAAGAAATAAATTGCCTATGAAATAAGCGTTTTATTTACATCGCATCCATAAATTCAAAGAGACGAAGTCGAGTTTGTGTCTTTTCAATTTCATTCATGTCTTCCTCTGATAGGGAAAAATCAAAGACCTGCAATGATAAACGAAAATTAACAACATATACATATCCATATAATCCTATGCCTATAATCCTTCTTGAGAACGTCCTTCCAAAAATGCTGAAAAATAATATTCATTTAAATTTGATGCTTCTCAAAACGTTCTGCTTATCTACAATTCATACAACTACTCCTAACGATAAATCAACACTTCAGGTTCTTTATACTATAGACAACTGTTTCCTCAATACAAACGGAACTCTTAAATTTGCACATCTTGTAATAGGTCATCAACAAAATTACTTCTTTGACAATCAAACTGATTTTACATAAAAAGTACTCTAAAGATGCTTTTAAAATGATAAAGTAGTTCCTCAGTGACAACAAGACCGGGTCTTTAAACAAACTTGGAATTCCCATGGGCACTTACTGTGATCCTTTCTTAAACAACTTGTTTTATATTCCCGTGAAAAAGAATTTATTCACTGATTCTACGTAAGAAGAAATTATACTTTCCGTGACCATCAACCATTCAGATACCGTCGAGGTTTTATCAACAAACACGAGTTATATTCATTCATATGTTGACTCGATATATATATATTCCAGTAAACGTGAAAAAAGATACAAGTCTGCCAAATATGTTTCCCATGTAGATGTTTTGCTGCCTAGAGACGACTAAAGCCCGACTAAAAACTGAATTGTATGACAAGCAAAATTTTTCCAGCTTTTCCATTGTTTTGTATTAGTAGAATCACCTGCATGTGGTGTTTATGCCTCTCAGGAGTTTTGCCACTCAAGAGCATGCTTCGTGTATGATTGATTTTTAAACCTAAGAAGGCTTTTCACACATAAGTTGATGTTGCAAAAATTTAACCAATCTCGGTTGAAGTCAATAATTCGCAATTCTATGTTTGGCCTTTGGTTTTTTTTTAAGATAATTTGACTTCTTGGCACAGTGGAAGAGCATCTTTTGTAGAGTTTGCAGAGTAAGAATTTTCATCCTTACACGGAGGTTCGAATTCCGGTGGAGACCGGACCTTCGGATGAGACAATTTAAGGCCCATGTTGCATTAGGTGCTGGCTTGAAAAAGATCTATCTGTTACATTAAAGTTTTGCAATTTAAGAAATTCTATAGACTATCTATAACAATCAGTTTTGAATTTCTTAAATCGCAAGACTTTAATATATCAGATCCCTCTCTGCTCAATGGACCATAGTTCCAAATATAGGTCAAAATTTGCAGCTCTCCCTCAGCAAGTGCGTGGTGGTTTTTCCATATGAGTAAAAAATATGAGTGATGTTAAACAACAAACAAATTTATTTGACTACGGACTGTCTACTTGATCATACAATACACATGGCTCGCAGCGGGTATGATCGGTCAGCAGGTACTATTATCCTTACACCTGCTTTGTACTTGATCCAACTTTTTGAATTTTCTTGGCTGATCACATATTCAAATATATGACTGCTCTTAACTTTACCCTTTTTAGGTATAATAACGTTTATTTCTTGCGTATATTTTACAAATCATATGACTTTTCTTTCTGATTTAAAAACTGCTTCTCGAGCTCGACATTGACGTTTTTAAAGCAAAAAGCGTATTTCAACAATTTCGTATTTGTATATTGATTAAAATCAACTCAATATTTTCTCCTTTATTTCTAAGAAACTTTGAATTCACCTGCTACATTTAACAACCAAAGAAAACATTTTACAAAAAAATTACCTGGATATTGCTACGTATTCTTTCTGGATTTACACTCTTTGGAATTACAATCATACCTCTTTGCATGAGATTTCGGAGAAGAACCTGTAGAGAAAAAATTTCAACAAAGTTAAACTAAACAGGAAATTATTATTATATTGACCATAATTCTTTGAAGTCTCTTTTATTATATTTAATCACCTTAATTTTGGTAGCCTACCTGCGCTGGCGTTTTACCATATTTGTTGGCTATTTTTATGATAACAGGATCTTCTAAGACAACAGGTTCATCTGCTTTTATACTACAAAAGAGACAAATATGTATACAATGATGATATTTGGTGTTTTTATAACTTAAGCCTAAACAAATTCCTGTCCCATTGATTAATCGTCTGAACGTTTTGTGGCGACTTTGAAAACTTTTTATTGGAAACGATGAAGATTCCTACGCCTAAGAATTAATACAATCAATTTGGACATGTATATTGTAATTAGATACGAAAAGATAAAAATGTTTTTCCGACATTCCATAAGACAGTAAAAATTATAGATCTTCTGAACTGGTTTACCACAAAACGTTCTGACCGATAAATCCATTAATTCTACACCTTTTTTGTTATTGTAAGCTACACTCAAATAAGGAACACCATCAAATTGTAGTAATAAAACGTCTATTAATTTAAATAAGCAAAGAAAAGAAAGAAAAAGTTTAAAACCCAAGTCTGAAGATACGACAGTCAAGTCCAGTCTCCAGTGTAAACCATAAGCAAAACTAGATCTAACATTTTGCTCCATGTGCAATATTTAATGATAATATTTGATAGGTAACTGGAAAGAAAAGAGGAGGTAACGTACTCATTATAATCAATTAAGTTTGTATTTATTTGCACTAATTAGCTGTAATCATTATAAAGTAATCAGTACAAAGTACTCAACGATCGATTAATTAAATGAAATATATGGAGATAAAGAAAGGTATTCAAGCTCAAAAGTCAACGAAACAAAACAAAAATAGCTCAGAGAAAACATGGACCTCCAAAACATTAGAGTTGGGATCAGGTGCCATGGAGGAGTGAGTATCCCCTGTCGACTTGTCACACCATGTGCTCCTCGTCGTGATTGGGAAATAACACAAAAATCCGTCGACAAATCAGTGTCTATTAAATGGTTTAGCAATTAGTATAAAAATGTCAGTCAACATTTGACTTAATGGTTAATTGCATTTGCTGACAAGATCATTCATTGTATTGACCATAGGACTTACTAAATGATGACTTTAAATAAAACTGCTGATATTTTGGTTTCAGCAACTCGTTTCTCAATAATTAACCTCGTTTTAAATTGTTCATATGTAGAGCATGCTCTCGTGTATTGAATCCATTGAGAGATATAAACCCAGTATGCTGAACCCCGTATGCAAGTGATGAAGATATAATGCTGCATAAGTAAGGAGAGTTGACGATTGAAAAGTTTAAGTCATCACGTTTATCATAAAGATTGGTTGTTAGGATATCATTAACTAACAACCATATTCAATAAAATAAAATATGAAACAGAAGGGTTAGAGTCTGTATGAGCATTAAATTCAAGCTCATCAGGATTAAATATATGGACATAACGAACAGCATTAAAGCTCAAAATTAAAGTCCATTAAACAATACAAAAATGGAGCATAGCAAACAAGGACCTTAAAAAACATCAGAGGTGGGATCAGGTGCCATGGAGGAGTGGTCATTCCCTGCCGACCGGTCACACCCGCCGTGTGCTCCTTGTCATCATTAGATTTATTAAAGAAAAATGGGATAGGCTAGATAACACGTTGTTTTAACAGAATTAACATTTCAAAAGTTGGCGAATAAAACAGTGAAAAATTATAATTTTAATATTTCAAATACTTTTCAATATTTGTATTTTTTATTAAATTCTTGGCATTTTAAAGTGTCTATTTCCCACCCATTTTTAACTTAAATTGTTCTCTTGAAAGTTACCATGTCTCTATTACTTTTTTTGCACGGTTTTTATAGTTTTTGATTATTTGATTTTTTTTTCAAATAAGCAACACTACTGTTTTGATAATATAAAAATATCCGTGCAATATCTGTAATTACGGATAAGCGTATAATTCAACACAGGCTATTCACTCAAAACTATGTAAATAGTACATGACGTATATACAATAACAGAGTAATGTAAAATAAATACAGTCTGATACATCCGTTTCAAATTAGGATATTGTACTGGAAAAAAACCTAATTTGAAACCTATCAACAAATTTTATGATAAACGTGATATCGACTTTCCTTTCGTCACAAGTAGAACACCGCCATTGTAACCGTCATCAGGAGATGCTTACTCCTCCATGGCCCCTTATCCTGCTTTGATGGGTTTTTTTAGTGGTCCGCGTTTGCTCTATTCTCGATTTGTATTGTTTAAATGTACTTAGTGATTAATTATTGTTCGTTTTCTTCATATTTCATTCTTGTTTGAGGTCAAAAAAAAGTTTCCAGAATAGGTTTAGATCAATTAAATAATGAATTAATTTTGGATTTTAAATATTGAATTGCTTATTTCTCTGAAATACTGACAGAGTGGCGGGCCTGCCTGGAGAACCGAAAGGCGAATATGCTGTTATTATAATTCCATGCTTCTTACAAGCCTCAAATAATTCTTCCTGTGGAAAATATATATGACATTCTACCTAAAAAGAAAATAAAATTTAAAAAAATGAAATTGAATTATTTAGCTTATTACTGTATTGTGATAATTGTGTTTTGATTCTCATTCACATAATTATTCAGTCGCAACACTGTATAGTGAAAAGTGTATTTTATAATTACAAGTCATGGTTTTACCTCAATCAACTGGTTTTTTTTTTTATTTTTAAGATGTTGAGGAGTGGCGTTGCGATTTCATGCAAATGTTTAACCAGTGTATAAGTAAATTGTCTACTGATAAAATTACGATTAATTTATACAAAAGTACTTTGAGCATTTTCTTCTCAACAAAAGGAAACTAAAACCTTTCTGCCTTGAAACATAGGCAATTTTATTCGAAGTTTACATCGTCATTTACATAGTATATTTAATAAAATAAAGAAAGGTCTTGGTAGCATTTGATAACATTTGAAAATGCTAGCTTACTTGGTTTGTTACAGGTTTGTGTTTCGCCACCTTGCAGATTCTTTCAACTTGTGAGATACTGAAGTTAGACACTCCAATAGATTTAGTCAATCCGATGTCTACCAGTTCCTCCATGGCCTATAGGACAGACACTGAAAGTTATCTCACCTGCATACATATAATCCAAGATGATATCTCGATATTATCAATACTACATGTTGAACTTCCATGCCAGTTTTCACCTGATAATACATTATTTAAAATTGATGCTCTCAATCATAAAGGATTGTGTATTCTTTTTCAACCGAAATATAATAAAGAGTTGGGTTTTTTTATGAATCAGTGTTTTCAAGTAGCATTTCAAAATGTAAATAAAAGGAGCCCTTTCGTCATCTTTTTCTGCTTATAAGGTTGTCTTTATGCAGCGACCTCTTGTTTCATAGTACCTTCCAAGTTCCAATAAGATCCGATTTGTCCGCTGCCTTCAAGCTTCCAGCCTCGTTTCTGGGAAAACATTTGGTGTCGTCCCCTTCATACTGAAAATTTAATTTTAATCTCTATAATATATGTGCATATTTGTAAGATATTTATACCCCCCGCTTGAAAAGTGGGAGGGTATACTGTAATCGGTATGTCCGTCCATCCGCCTGTCTGTCTGTTACGCTTTGAGGTACCCATCTCTTATCCGCAACTCCTCTTATACCAGTGAGTGAAATTTAATGAAACTTTTACAGAATCTTTATTACATACTAGTATTGCCATTGTGCACCTCCTATTTTACTTTTTGATCCGACACATATTTTGGGTTTCCCGGCCACAAGAAAACATGGACTTTGCCATTATAACCATATGGAAGGCGGGGGGGGGGGGGTATCAATTAGTGAGTTCATTGCTCACAGGACCTCTAGTTCCTGTTTCCTCATTGTAAAACAACATCATTTAAACATCAGAGACATTTTTTTCAAACATTAGAAAAGACATTTTCTTCAGCCCAACATTTCGTTAAATGTTTTCTCAAACAAAATTATATATATTATATATTTAAGGATAGCTTGTTTAGGAGATTAAAAGAAATAAAAAATCTCTAGACGGCTGTGTTTTATTCATTTGAAGCAATGATTGTAAAATCAAAGTTTTGTTTCAGTTAATGAAATCTTTCAGAATGTTTTCAAATTGTGATTTTTTTTCTTTCATTCTATAACCTTCAAAATGGTTTTTAAAAACTTATAAAATAAATTTTAAACATAATATTTATAAGATAAATACTGATCCATTACCGCTAGTTGTATGGGGAAGTGAACAAGGTACAGATCCACATAAGATAACTGCAAATTCTTCAGACTCAATTCCAGAGATCTCTTCACCAGTTTGGGGTCCATGTGTATCATTGGAAGCTGAAAATAGGAAGACTTTCGTTTGGTAGCAGAAACAAACAAGAAATAGTTCATTTTACTAGCAAGTCACTTGCATTCAATCTCTTTCTACTATTATCGAAGCATTTATTTCAATATCAATTCATGATTCGGCAATCGATCGCGACCTGTATTAACGAAATTTGACAATCCCTGCTTTAGTTAATACCAACTGAGAGGCCATAACAACTGACCATAGTGACTTCTTGCTCTGATGATCTAAGTATCATATATTAAAATTTGGTTATGTTATAATTGCCTTAGTAACGATAAACAATTCCTCTCTTTTCACTTTTCCACTCTTAATATACTCCTGAAGAACCTCTCCTATTGCATCTTCATTCATGTAATTATAGGCCGTGTCAATATGTCTGTACCCGGCATCCAAAGCCGCCCGCACGGCGGTCTTCACCTCGTCTTTTGGACTCTGTGTAAAAAGAGAATAGCAAATAATATATTGTGTGCATGCAGCAAATTTATAGAAGACTCTTTTATATGAAACTGAATCTTTACTCGGATATGTTGTCTACTTGACCAATCTAATTAAAATTAGATCCTTTACGCTTCTTGTATTTTGTTATGTCGCTGTGACATAACAAAATACAAGGAGCGTAAAGGATCTAATTTTAATTAGATTGGTCAAGTAGAATGTTTAGCATTTAATTTTGAATTTTTTAATCGACAGTTTACCCTTAGCACATCATGCAATTTTTTTCATGTTAAAGTCTATATACGTTATGTAAATTTATGTCTTCTAAGAAGAGAGTTTTCGATGGCATAGTATCTAATGATTATAATAAAATTTTAATGGCGAACGTACGTAAGTTTCTCATAAGCAGAATTGAAAAGGGGATGCATACATGCAAACGTGATACTATCACGATAAATACTGAAAAATACAAACCTGCCAAGTTCCCAGTCCTATTATAGGTATTTCTTTCCCATTGTTAAGTTTGAGGGTTCTCTTTAGATCGGCCATTTTGTCGGACGCCTTTTAAAAAAAACGGTCGTGCTATTATCGGTTTATTTTCGATTAGATTAACAGATACTGGTTTACGAGGACTACAGAACTACATAATAAAACAGTATATTAACGAATGTCCAAGTCGATCAACAACACTTGAAATACACACCCATGACTTGCAGTAATTTAAAACGCAATTTTAACTACGACACAAATATTGCATGCCTTTGTCCGTAAAATTGTCTCTGTTATAATTTTTTAACATGATAAAGGAAGCTAATTTGAATATATGGCTGTGAATTGAATACTATCTTTTCTGCAAACATAAGTGCATCCTAATAGCTCTCTCTCTCTCTCTCTCTCTCTCTCTCTCTCTCTCTCTCTCTCTCTCGAGTTATTAACATATTGATTAAAGTTAAGGTCCAAAACTACCTAAAAATTGCTATACTAAAGACAAAATTACAGTCATATACGCACCGTTTATAATTAACTTTACTAAAGTGAACTTGACCTACATACACCCAGTGATAATGAACAAGTTTTTTAAGTGCTTACACACTACGAAAAAAAAATACTCTGTGTTTTCTAATCATTTATTCATATTATCTAATCATTACATGTACATAAAGTTTAAATACATGTAATACCTTCCAATATTCTAATAGAATTTTTTTTATTGTTAGCTATTTAAAACATTTAAAGGAGATCGTTGACCTGCTTAGTCAGTGAATTTACCTATTCTAGAAGTAGTTTATACCAGATGTGGATTCTAAAAAAAACACAAAAGAACTTTTTTGTTAGTTAATTCGACATTTTATTTTCAAACAGTCAGACTTTTCTACGCTTTATACAACCATGCCTCGCGATAAGTTTAACACAGGCGCTTGAGTGTCTAGCTTACCTTTCTTTTCATAATAAAAAAAAAATCCCCATACTATAATAATAACAAGCTTATTATTACAGGATATGGGGATTCTCTTTATTTTATTTTTTTATTTGTGAAAAGAAATGTTTTAATCGCCATGAATCTGTGTATTTCTAATAACAAAAATAAGTAGAGGTTACATTGGTCGGTCGCTCAAGAAAGAGAAAATTAAAATCTTTAGTAAATTTGTTTTATTTGAAACGAAAAAGGAAAAAACAATCTTACACGGGGAAATAAATACTTGTAAAAAAATGTTTGTGTCAAGTAAAGCCTGCATCTGTGTCATCTTAAAGTATTACATCGCACTTAAAACACGAAATTACTATAGCATTGCTGACACTTATCTTATAAAGGTTGCTTGATTTACCTTGATTTCCCGTCAAAAATTTAATGTTAAAAAACTGTTCTTTCTCTCAGAGACGAACTCTTTTGCATCTTAGCCTCTGGAGAATGCATAATTGAAATATCAAACCGTAAATATAATGATTGTGCTAAACCACTATTGCAGACTTCTGTGTTGTTTTATATCGGAATTAATGAAGAAAAATGTTTTGTACATATCGGAAATATGATTTTTTAAAGTCTGGGTCAAACTTGTTTAACTTACTTGTATTTTTTTTTTTTACATTCAGTGGTAAAGTAGAGGTGCAGTGAGCAATGAACTCACTAAATGATACCCCCGCCACCTATATGTTTATAATGGCAAAGACCATGTTTTGATCTGGGAGACCCAAAATAATTGCCAGATCAAAATGTAAAACTAGAGGTACCACGAGAAATGAGCTCACTAAATGATACCCCCCGCCTCCCATATGAATGTAATGGCAGTGTCCATGTTTTGCTTTGGGAAACCCAACATTTAATATGTGTCGGATCAAAAAGTAAAATAAGAGGTGCACAATGGCAAAATGTAATAAAGATTCTGTGAAAGTTTCATTAAATTTCATTCAGTGGTATAAGAGGAGTTGCGGATAAGAGATGGGTACCCTAAAGCGTAACAGACGGACGTACAGACGGACGGACGGACATACCGATTACTAGATACCCTCCCGCTTTTCAAGTGGGGGGTATAATTAAACTAGAGGTATACTGAAAGCACTGAGTTCACTAAATGATACTCCGCATCTCCTACTAGTATATGATTATAATGGCAAAGTCCATGTTTTGCTCTGGGAGATCCGAAATATAAGTGTCAAATCAAAAAGTAAAATAGGAAGTGCACAATGACATTATGTAATGAAGAATCCATGAAAATATCATTAAATTTTATTCAGTGGTATGGGAGGAGTTGCGGATAAGAGCTGGGCACTTTCAATATTATAGAAAGAATGGCTGTGTCCATGTCTTGCTCCGGGAAACCCAACCCATCTTATCCGCAACTTCCCCTTACAAATGAATAAAATTTAATGATACTTTCACGGATTCTTTATAACGTAATGCCATTGTGCACCCACTATTTTACTTTTTGATCTGACACTTATTTTGGGTCTCCCAGAGCAAAACATGGAATTTGCTATTATAACATTATATTAGAGGTGGAGTCTCATTTAGTAAACTCATTGCATACAGTACCTCTAGTTACTGAAATAAAATTGGTGCTTTATCAATTAATGTTTTTTTCACTGAACATGTTGAGTCAGAGTACCATATTTTTTACTCATTTTAGGTCACCTGAGTAAACTCAGGTGACCTTTTGCTATCCGTTTTCGTCCGTCGTCGTTCGTCGTGCGACATGCGTCCTGCGTTAACATTTGAACATTTTCAGCTTCTTCTCTGAAATCGCAGAACCAATTTCAACCAAATGTGGCATATAGCATCTATGCGTAAAGGGGAACAAAAATTGTGAATTTCATGGTCCCTGTCCCCCTGGGGCCTGGGGGTGGGGCCAAAACCTCTCAAATTAGTGCAATCTTTAAAAATTGTGAAATTTATGGCCCCAGGGTCAGGGGTTCTAGTGCTAGGGCGGGGCTAAATAGATTGTATAGTGAAAATGCATTATTTCTTTGAAGTTCTTCTTTTCTGCTCCTGGGCATTAAATAAATTAACCAAGTGCATAGTTATGTTGAATAAGGCTGCCTCTTCAAAAATTGTCAATTTCATGGCCCCAGAGTCAGGGATTCTAGTTCTAGGGCGGGGCTATATAGATTAAATAGTGAAAATGCATAAATTCTTTGAAATTCTTCTTTTCTGCTCATGGGCATTAAATAAACTAACCAAGTGCATAGATAAGTTGAATGTGGCTGCCTCGTCCAAAATTGCGAATTTTATGCCCCAGGGAAAGGGCTATTAGTGCTAGGGCGGGGCTATAAAGATTATATTAGGGAAAATGAATTATTTCTTTGAAAATCTTCTTTTCTGCGTTTGGGTATTAAACCATGAACTATGTACATAGTTTTGAGGAGGAAGGATGCCTCTTTGAGATTTGTGAATTTCATGGCCCCTGGGTAAGAGCTTCTTGTGTTAGGGGGGGGGCTCTAATGTTTATTTAATGAAAATGCATGAATTCTTTTAAAATCTTTTCCTTTGCTCCTGGATATTATGCCAATGATCTAAGTACATATTTATAAAGAAGAAAGCTGCCTCTTCCAAAATGGTAAATTTCCGGGGCCCTGGGTCAGAGGTATTTGGAGGGGGAGGGCACATAGTCTGAATATAAATTAATCAACAATTTATTTTGAAATAAAATTCATGATAAAATTTCCAAAATTTTGAAATATGTTGCCCCAGGGTCAGTGGTTCCTGTGGGGAGGGGTGCACAAGTGGTTACAAAGTTGAAGTGAATTTTCTCTTTGTTACTCTGATCTGCCTCTGGGTATTAAGTAACCAAAGTAAGCAAGCTAAGTATATAATTATCATAAGCAATGGTGCCTCTTTCAAACTCGTGAATTTCATGTCCTCAGGTTTAAAACAGGAATCAAATTCAATTACGGGATACTCAGGTGATCTATAAGGCCCGTGGACCTCCTGTTATATATCTTTTCAACTGTGTTTTCTCACTGTAGATAGTTATTTTTCCAGTGAGATCTTGACAAATGATCATGAATTTCCCAAACAACAGAAACGGAAGTTCCTCAGAGTGGTATCACTAAACTTCCAAAACATAAAAAAAACAAAGTTCACGAGACTGAGGTACTAACTGATAACTCGGAACCTGACATCATTGTAGGCACAGAGACTTGGCTGAATGACAACATCAGGGCTGACTCACACACTAGGTGGAATCATCAATCATCAATGCCGACAAGAATGACTTGGTGTGTACGCCAGTTTACACCAGTAAAGACCATGAGCTCCTCTGTGTTAGACTTCAGGTAAACAAGAAAAAGTCCATCATTATAGGAGTCTACTACCGCCCACCCAGCATCACTTGTGAAAACAATGCACGTCTGGCTGTAGCATAGATGAGCAAGGTTCGCTCGGAAAATCCTAAGTGTGATTTCTGGATGGCGGGTGATTTTAACCTCCCAGATATTAACTGGACTATCCAATCAATCACCTCCCATCAATACCCAAGCAAGATGTCAACAGAGTACCTAAACGTCCTTGGTGATTGTTGAGTAGAGCAGTTTATATGCACTCCAACACGGAGAGATAAAATCCTAGATTTGTTCTTCACTAGCAACCCATCACTAGACAACGTTGTAAAGTCATCCCAGAGGTAGGCGACAATGATGCTGTCTTAACTGACTCCTTATTGCAGCTGCTTTGAAGAAAACCGGTCCGTTGGGAAATATACTCATGGGATAAGGCAGATATGTCATCTTTACTACGAAGAGACATCAACAACTTTGTATAAGACTTCATCACTTCTGTTGATACTCACTGGGACCTCTTCAGAGACACCACTCTTAGCATCATGAACCGATATGTTCCTCACAAGCTCACACGATCCAGGACATCTAACCCTTGGATCAACACAGCTAGCAGGCGTTTCGCATGCAGGAAATTACATGCATTCCACAAAGCCAAGCAAACAAAGAAGCAGCGTGACCAGCAAAGTAACCGTCTCTGAAGTCAGAGTGCCAGCGAACTATTCGCCTTGCTTAATAACATTACGTGAATAACATGATCAACCCCAGCGCCTCAGAAAACCCCAAGAAGTTCTGGTCATTCATTAAAAGCAAAAAACAAGAAATCTCTGGCATAGCACCAGTACGGATTACTGATGGACTCATAACCAGTGACACACAAGCCAAGGCGAATACTGTATCTAAAATGAAAAGTTTAAATCTGCATTTACAACGGAGGATACTAGCCAAGCTCTAGACAAGGGTCCTAGCCCATTTCCAGCAATGGAAAGCATAATCATCAATTCACGAGGTGTGTTCAAGCTTTTAAAGAGGCTGGGTGGTCGTGGCCATTTTTAGACTATTTTCATCTACTTTAGAAGAAGAGCTCCATATAAAGATATATTAAAATGATCAATTCTAAAACTAAAATTTATGAAATTTTTCTTTGCCAAATGATAGTTGACAGCTCAAGATATCATATCTAAAAAAATAAGTTATATCTGGTGGTTAAGAAAAAAAAATAATAATCTGTTGACCCTCTAGCCTCCTGAAGTGACCTTTAACCACACAAGCCTACCGAACCAGATGCCATATCAGCACGTTATCTGAAGGAACTGGCAGAGGAGATTACAACGGCTTTGACTTTTCTTTTCCAAATTTCTCTGAATGGTGGATGTGTGCCAGATGACTGGGAGATGGCCCATATCGTCCCTATCTTTAAGAAAGGAGACAAGAGTTCAGCGGCTAATTACCGTCCTGTATCACTAACGGCAATTTGCTTGAAGATCTTGGAACACATTCTCCATTCCAACATCACGGACGACTTTGAAAGGAACTCTATCCTAACACCAGCATAGCATGGATTTCGTAGTAAGCGATCATGTGAGACTCAAATTATAGCCACAGTACAAGACCTGGCTAGTAGCCTATCGAACAGCAACCAGACTGATATCATCTTGCTGGAATTTGTCAAGGCATTCGATAAAGTTCCACACTAACGTCTCCTCCACAAACTGAATTAATATTGAATTCGTGGCTGCACTTTACAATGGATAGAAAGTTCCTTATCAGACAGAAAACAGTGTGTATTGGTTGAGGGGATGTCCTCCAACATAGCAGACGTGAACTCCGGAGTACCTCAAAGCACAGTTGTGGGTCCCCTATAATTTCTTGCCTACATCAATCACCTCCCTGAAGTGGTAACATCAAATGTCAAATTATTTGCAGACGACTGCCTCATCTACAGGACAATTCAATCAATCGATGACACAGTCCAACTTCAGCGGGACTTATGCGCGCTTGAGAAATGGGAAAAGGTCGACTGGCAGATTTTTTTTATCCTCAGAAATGCACTACCATCAACATTTCAAAGAAACGCCATCCAATTAAAAAATCATACCCTCTGCACAACCAAACCCTGGAAGATGTCCCAAGTGGTAAATACCTGGGAATCACAATTAGTCAAGATCTGTCATGGCGTGAGCATAGTAACTCATCTGTCAAGGCCACAAGAACAATTGGTTTTCTAAGAAGGAACCTCAGAAGCTGCCCACAGGATATCAGAAGTAGGGCATACACTACACTAGTACGTCCAGTATTGGAGTACGCATCAGTGGTTTGGGGTCCTCACCAACATCATTTAATCCAACACTTAGAAAATGCTCAGCACCGGGCAGCAAGGTTCGCCACTGGTGATTACTCGTCAAGGGACCCAGGAAGTGTGACCACCATACTACATCAACTCGGCTGGGAACCATTAGAACATAGGAGGGCCCGGAACCGTGTGATCATGTTCTACAAAATTTACCATCACATTATGGAAGTTCCAACAGCAGAATTCGTGGTTCTATGGCAATCAAAATCTGCCAAATCAGCACCAGCTTTGTTGTCTACAAATACTCGTTCATACCAGCAACTATCATAGCATGGTACAATATATCAGCCACGATCCGGAATTCACCATCGGTGGACACTTTCAGATACAAACTATCAGCGTGTTTGAGATCCTACACCACTAAACTGTCCACTTTTAACTGTTTACCTCTTTTAATACGAATATGCATAGGTTTTTACCTGTTCACTACGGAATTTCTGGAGTATTGACTCTCAACTTGAGTATACTACATAAAGGGAAGAAGAAGAAGAAGAAGAAGAATTTATCTTTTACATTCATTTAAGAACCCTCTCTACACTGCACACTAAAGAGTTCTGATTTTTATGGTATTTTTCTGCAGTTAGAGTGATCTGCCCTTAGATCTTACTTATAAAAAATAGAAATTCACAGTATATGACACAATTTGTAATCAGTTCAAGTATTCTTAGCATTTTGAAAGGCCAAGATAAATTAATTGAACATGTTATTTACATATATTTTCTCCTTGGAAGTAAACAACAGTGATTTCTATTCACTGATATTGTGTTTGAGTATTTATCCTGGGGTAAATACCTTGTACCATATAGTGAAATAAATTAGATAAGCTCAATATGAACACCTTTATAGAATATAGTTTTTTATCAATGTCCAAAAAAACATTTTGCACTGGTGTAGAGAGGGTCCTCAATGTACTCTTCTTTACATTTATCCTTTCTATGGAATAACTTCCTGAAATAAATGAGCTGAAATACGAAATTTTGATTACCTTTTGAAACAATGTTCCACGTCGGACAGGTGACAAGCCTTAAGGAAGGCCCATACTTTTACGGATCCGGTTTAATTTTACACATCAATATAAAATTTTGATTATCACTTGTCTATAGAAATAAAATCTTTTTGGGAGATCGAAAATAATTTAGCAAGTATATATTTGTTTATTATAGTGATATTGTGCATACAAAGCATTTAATATACATTATCTATGGAAATTAACACTTTGCGCTCTGTCCCGTATAGGATCTATATGTCATTTGGTACACACACAGATACAAAATTCTTCATTGCTTTTATGGACCTAAAGCTTTTTAATTTTCTTTTTAGCAAACTAACTTGACATCTATTTTTTTTTATTGATTTAAGCCTATATCATCCATTTAATTTTTACTTTTTAAAAAAATTTTGCAATGAATAATAGAAAAAATTGATATTCCAAAAAAAGGGGTATACGTCTTCAAAAGACTGTTTTGGTAAAATTTTCTGGTCAACCATAATAAAGTGTGTGTTTTTTGTTAACTTAAGATATAAAACTTAACAGATTTAAAGAAAAAATGGCATCGAAACAGTTTAGATTTTGAGAATTATAAAAAACAAAGATATATTGAGGAAATGGACAGATTCAACATCAATTTGTTAATGTTTTGCAGTAAAGATTTCAAATATCCTCTTGGCAAATGAAAAATTTTGATTTTCATAAGTTTTATCATGAATTTGATATGATTTGGTGCATAACTAAATAAAATATGATATCACTTCTTTATGTTCAATTTTGGCTGTTGAGTTTTTAGAGGTATGTGCTCTGAGACATGTTGTATGAAAATTAACCTGCAAAGATATGTCTTTTATGGGTGTTTTACTTAGTTTAAGACTTATTCAAGGTATATATTCAAATTTTAAAAAAACTATCAGTTTGACAGAAAATTCTGAAAGTACGGACCTTCCTTACGGAAAGCCCTGATGATATCTGAGGTCATTTTACAAGATTTTATATGATTCGTTTATGCTTATCTTATTTAATTAAACGAGATATCATTTTTTAGGCATTTTTTAAAACATCTGGCTGTAAAGTGACACATTTTTAAAATCAAGCATTCATAGTTCAAGAGAAGTGATTTTTCAGCAGCGTTATGTTATGAGTACATTAGGAATATAAGAGATAAAAGAAAGTTTATATACCCACCCTTTCGCTTGAAAAGATGGGGGGATATTGTAATCGAGATGCCCATCCTTCTTACCGTCTGTACGTCTGTCCGTTTGTCTAGTACACATCCGTCTGTTACGCTTTGGGATTCCAATCTCTAATTCTCAACTCCTCTTATACCACTGATTGAAATTTTAGAGAAACTTTCAAAGAATTTTTGTTACGTAGTGCCATGGTGCACCCCTTTTTAGCTCACCTGAGCCGAAGGCTCAAGTGAGTTTTTCTGATCAAAATTTGTCCGTTGTCTGTCGTCGTTGTTGTCGTTGTCGTCGTTGTCGTCGTCGCAAACTTTTCACATTTTCATCTTCTTCTCAAGAACCACTGGGCCAATTTCAACCAAACTTGGCAAAAAGTATCCTTGGGTGAAGGGGATTCAAGTTTTTTCAAATGAATGGCCACGCCTTCTTCCAAGGGGAGATAATTATGAATTAGAGAAAAATTAATAGCATTTTTAAAAAATCTTCTTCTCAAGAACCACTAGGCCAGGAAAGATGAAACTCATGTGGAATCATCCTCAGGTAGTTTAAATTCAAGTTTGTTCAAATCATGACCCCCGGGGGTAGGTGGGGCCAAAATGGCCGATCAAAGTTTTACATAGGAATATATAGGAAAACTCTTTAAAAATCTTCTTCTCAAGAACCAGTGGGCTAGGAAAGATGAAACTCTTTCGGAATCATCCTCAAGTAGTGTAGATTCAAGTTTGTTCAAATCATGACCCCCGGGGGTAGGGTGGGGCCAAAATGGCCGATCAAAGTTTAACATAGGAATATGTAGGAAAAATCTTTAAAAATCTTCTTCTCAAGAACCAGTGGGTCAGGAAAGATGAAACTCATGTGGAGGCATCCTGTGGTAGTGTAGATACTAAATTGTTAAAATTTTGACCCCTGGGGGTAGGGTGGGGCCAAAATGGCCGATCAAAGTTTTACATAGGAATGTATATGAAAAATCTTTAAAAACCTTCTTCTCAAGAACCATTGGGCCAGGAAAGATGAAACTCATGTGGAAGCATCCTCAGGTAGTGTAGATTCAAGTTTGTTCAAATCATGACCCCCGGGGGTAGGGTGGGGCCAAAATGGCCGATCAAAGTTTTACATAGGAATATATAGGAAAAATATTCTTCTCAAGAACCACTGGTCCAGGAAAGATGAAACTCATGTGGAAGCATCCTCAGGTAGTGTAGATTCAAGTTTCTTCAAATCATGATCCCCGGGGGTAGGGTGGGGCCAAAATGGTCGATCAAAGTTTAACATAGGAATATATAGGAAAAATCTTTAAAAATCTTCTTCTCAAGAACCATTGGGCCAGGAAAGATGAAACTCATGAGGAATCATCCTCAGGTAGTGTAGATTCAAGTTTGTTTAAATCATGACCACCGGGGTAGGATGGGGCCAAATGGCCGATAAAAGTTTACATAGGAATATCTGGGGAAGCCTTTTAAAATCCTCTTTTCAAGTCTTTTAAAGCCATGCTTAGTGATATTTATAGGGAATCATACTCAGGTAGTGTAGATCCAAGTTTGTTCAAATCATGACCCCCTGGGGGGAGGGGGGTTAAAATTCAAGCCCCCTCCTCGCCCCTCAGTAAACTTTCAGTTCTGATCTGATATGTGCTTTTTCCTACCAATTGCTCAGGTGAGCGATGTGGCCCCTGGGCCTCTTGTTGTACTTTTTGATAGGACACATAATTCTCGTTTCCCAAAGAAAAATATGGACACGGCCATTGTTTCTTTTATATTGAAGGGTGCGTACCCATCTCTTATCCGCAACTCCTCCTTTGGCACTGAATAGATTTATTGATACTTTCAGACTCTTTATTACATAAGGTCATTGTGCACCTCCTATTTTACTTTTTGATCTGACACTTATTTCGTTTCCCAGAGCAAAGCATGGACTTTGCCATTATAATCATATGGGAGACGGGGGTGTCATTTAGTGAGTTCAGTGTTAACAGTACCTCCACAATGGCACTATGTAACAATGATGTTGTGAAAGTCATTAACTTTCATTCAGTGATATAGGAGGAGATGCGGATAAGAGATGGTATACCCAAAGCGTAACAGACGGACGGAAGGACGGACATCCTGATCACTATACCCTCCCACATTTCAAGCGAAGGGTATAATGAAATCCTTAACGCTCCTGTATTTTGTTATAGCGACCAAAAGACAGGAGCGTCAAGGATCTATTTTTAATTATATGTCGAAACTGTGCATCAAGATTTTATAGAAAATAGTTAAGTGTCAATATAGACTAAATTACCCTTTTCATGGATGCGCATAAATTTTCGATCAAGGCGGCCTTCTGTTTGTCCTTCGTATTCTTTTGATTATAATCATTTTTTTGTGCTGAAATTTTAAATGTCATTGACTAAGCAAGGATATAAAAGAATGAGGTACATTTCCTTGCTATTCATTCTTTCTTCTTTGAAAGGGTCTACAGTTGTCAAATAACCAAGCTTTATCGTAAGACAGCATCATGTTGTCCAGGAGTGGAAAAAACTACAGTAGTAATCTCATCTCAAGTAAGTTATCATCTCCATATTCAGAATTATCAGAGAGAGTTATACAAAGGAATCTGTCAATTTAAATATCTATTTCAACAAATGGACAAAATCAAAAATTGTAAAACAATCTATGCATATAACCGGTACGTGGGGCTTCTCAATAAGAGAGGTGAGCCCGTGGAATATCGAATGAAATTTATTAGGGCTCAAACGGCCTGTTCAGTTTAATGCCCTGATTTGTGAATATGTAACAGTGACGGGTATTAATGGGGAGCATGAGTTAACTCCCGTCCCAGTACATATTCCTCCTCCTTCACACTTTTATATTTGAATTTTTCAACAAGTATTTTTACAAATAATTTTAATTTTCCATCAGTATGGTATAATTTTATGGCCTATGCAATACGTGTATTTTATCATGAACTTAAATGCATTTTGTCAGTTACCTAAGTAACATATTTGCGGAAATGTACGATTTTTTTTCCCGGAAACATTGAAAAAAAACGAAACTTGTTCGCTGAAATGTTATTATATTCGTATAATTAATTTGCGAAAACAAGGTGTGCCATTT